GTGGGCTTCCTCATCGTCTTCACCGTGGTGGGCAACGTGCTGGTGGTGATCGCGGTGCTGACCAGCCGGGCGCTGCGTGCCCCGCAGAACCTCTTCCTGGTGTCGCTGGCCTCGGCCGACATCCTGGTGGCCACGCTGGTCATGCCTTTCTCTCTGGCCAACGAGCTCATGGCCTACTGGTACTTTGGGCAGGTGTGGTGCGGCGTGTACCTGGCGCTCGACGTGCTTTTCTGCACCTCGTCCATCGTGCACCTGTGCGCCATCAGCCTGGACCGCTACTGGTCCGTGACGCAGGCTGTCGAGTACAACCTGAAGCGCACGCCGCGCCGCGTCAAGGCCACCATCGTGGCGGTGTGGCTCATCTCGGCTGTCATCTCCTTCCCGCCGCTAGTCTCGCTGTACCGCCAGCCCGACGGCGCCGCCTACCCGCAGTGCGGCCTCAACGACGAGACCTGGTACATTCTGTCCTCCTGCATCGGCTCCTTCTTCGCGCCCTGCCTCATCATGGGCCTGGTCTACGCGCGCATCTACCGCGTGGCCAAGCTGCGCACACGCACGCTCAGCGAGAAGCGCACGACCACGGGCCCCGACGGCGCGTCCCCGACCACGGAGAACGGGCTGGGCGCGGCCGCGGGTGAGAAACTGTATTCTTTATGCTGTGCTATACATCTCTGTGACTATTTTGTAACTACTAAGCTGTTGTTACATACTGACTTTGGTTGGTATGCCCACAATGCAATATACAGATGATATATTATACAACTGTACACTTTGAAACATATATAATTTTATTAACCAATGTCATCCTAAAAAATTTAACAAACCACTAAGATTTCATATAAAATGTCATAAAAATTGCGCTCCGTCGAGTTCTTTCTGTCGCGCCGGCGCCGGGCGCGCAGCAGCGTGTGCCGCCGCAAGGTGGCCCAGGCGCGCGAGAAGCGCTTCACCTTCGTGCTGGCGGTGGTCATGGGCGTGTTCGTGCTCTGCTGGTTCCCCTTCTTCTTCAGCTACAGCCTGTACGGCATCTGCCGCGAGGCCTGCCAGGTGCCCGACCCGCTCTTCAAGTTCTTCTTCTGGATCGGCTACTGCAACAGCTCTCTCAACCCGGTCATCTACACCGTCTTCAATCAGGACTTCCGCCGCTCCTTCAAGCACATCCTCTTCCGACGGAGGAGAAGGGGCTTCAGGCAGTGACCTGCGCGCCCCGCCTGCGCGGAGACCCTGGGCAGCTCCGGGCGGAGACGGTGGGCAGGCGTGGCCGCCAGAGCAAAGCAGGGTTAGATTCCCCAGAGACCCAGGGATGGATCGGCCTCCAGGGTGCAGGGCCAGAGCGTGGACTGAGAGACCCATGGGACCCCCGGGGAGAGGGGAGGAAAAAGGGAAGATCCCTCTGCCTTCCCGTCTCAGCAAGGGGCTGCTTCTGGGGCTCCAGGCCTGCACCAGCTCCTGGCGCCCTGTCAGGTGTAGCAGTGAGGTCAGGGCCTTAGACCAGAGAGGCGTTTGCGACCTCCCGAACGGGTAAGAAGGAAGCCCCGCAAACGCACATCGCCACCCTGGATCCACCTCTGAACAAGGGCTGACTTCCCCAGGACCTAGTGGGGGCGCTGTGTGGGGGGAAGGAAGAAGGCACCGTCGCTCTGGTTACCGAAAGTATTTAAATGTCTGCCAAAAATGACAGCTCAGACAACCAAACTATTTTCTAAATAAACCTTTGTAATCTGTGTTGGGTGCAGTAGTCCGTCCTTAATTCCCCCCTCCCCCGCCCCAGGGTGAGGGTCCCTCCCAGACCCTCGCCCTGCCTACCCCCCAAGGGTAGAAAGGAGGACATTCCAGGTCCCCAGATTCCAACCCCCCTCTGGCATAAGGAGGAGGTCTTTTTTTTCCTCTTAAGCTAGAAGTTCTACATACGTTTAAGGTACATACTCAAAGTTCTTGTGCTGCGACTGGCTAAGAGGTGGAAGAAATCAAGACCCTCCCCCCCCAGACTGACTCCAGATTTAGATCCTGTCCTCCCTTCACCCCATCCCTGACCCCTCTGTCCCCATCGGTGCCTGCTCTGGCCTGACAGCCCCTCCCCAGTGGAGGGAAGTGGCCTCTCACATTCCCGCTACCTTTGGGCCAGCCCTGCCCTGAGTACTTCGTGGTCTCCTCACTTTGGAGGACACGGGCAGGGTGAGGCCCACCCAGAAGCAGGTCTGGGGCAGGAATGAGGCCAAGGCAAGTCCCCAGACTCTTATTCCAGACCGGAGACCTGTTTGGGACATTGAGGCTGGAAAGCCATGGGGGTGGGGGAAGCCTGCTAGGCTGGGGGGTGTTGGGAGGCTGCCCGTCCCTCCTCCCCACCCCCTGCATCCGAGTGGTGGCTTGGTGGCTTCCGCCTGCAGCCCAGCCTTGCTCACCCCCCACCCCCGCTCTCCCCACACTGAGACCTGAGGAGGGGTGGCTAGAAGAGGAGGCTAGAGTATTGGGGTAGCCTCCCCCCAGGCTCTGCCAGCCCCGATCACACAGCCCGGGCAGCTGGGGTGGACAGGCGGGAGCGGGACCAGGCATTGCAAGGGGCCGAGGCCCCTCCCCCGAAACACTCTCACATGCCTGAGCTTGAGCCGGAAGGGCTCGGGCTGGGACCCCTGCTGGTGGCCATCCCTTCCTCCTGTTCCTCCGTGACCCCTTGGCCTTTCTTATTTACCCCCCTCCTGCGTCCAGCCCTTGCCTACCACCCAGCCCTCTCCTGGATCACCACTCATCTGTCGTTGGCCTGGGGTAGCCACAGCTCTGTCCTGGGGAGAGGTCAGCCTGGGTCCTGCCTTTCATCCCTAAGCCCCAAATCGGGAGCCACAGCAGGCCCCTCTCCTGGTCCCCTTGCCAGGACTGTCCCTTGGAGAACCGCGCCCTCTGCAGTGGCCCAGCTGCCTCACCCCAAGGGTATGCTCTCTCAGACCATGTCGACACGAACTCGTGGGCACCCTCACACCTGCTGTGCCCAGGCTCAGGGACGGGGGGGGCGAAGCCTGGACGGGTAGTCCATGTCAGAGGCCTGGCTCTGCCACGAGGCTGCTGAGCTAGCTCGGACGAGCCTCTGCCCTCTCTGGGCGTCGGCACCCCTCCCATGAGGCGAGGGGCGTTGCTGGAAGCTGCCGAGCCTGCCGATCTCTGGTCCAATCTGCCAGCCGAGCCGGGGCCCTGAGGGGCGACCTTTCCTTGGCCATGGCACGGCTGACCTGGCGCGGCCTCCGAGCTGCGAGGCTGCCTCAGTGCAGCGGAGCAAAGACACCCCCAGGGATCTTGTGGATGAGCCGAGGCTACCACAGGCGCCCGCAGCCTGGAATGGGGCCCATGGAAGGATGTCAACTCGCCCCGCTCCCTCTCCTCCCCTAAGCCCCAGAACTGCCCCTGCCAGGGCTGCCACTGGGGCTGCCGGCGCCCCTGCCCCCATTCAGCCAGCAGATGTTCCCCACTCCGGCCTAACTGCCGCCTGGAGAGACTTCTTCTTCGGTTGGATAAACAGAGCCTGGCTCCCGCCCTGCTCTGCCGCAGGCAATGGCCTATCCGAGTCTCGCTGTCTGCAATGATGGAGTGGGGAAGCTGGCATCTCCCGGGTGTCCCAAGCACCAACTGCTCCCACCGTGGTCCAGGAATTTCTTTGCTGTACAGAGTAGGGGCCCAGACTTCTGTCCACCTGTCCAGGGCTTGTCCAGCAGGTCCCTCCGCGGCAGCCGGTTCATCCGCGCAGTGGTTCTGCTCTCTGGCCTGCGCGTCTGCTGCACGGTGCTCGTTGTAGGCCCCGTCTGTCGTCTGTGGCTGAGGAAACGGGCCCAGAGTTGGCCACTGCGCCCGGAATCACAGGTGTGAGGGGCGGAGCGCACCGTGAACCCAGAAGCGTCCAGCCCCGCAGAGCTCGTGCACTGGGCACCCCAGCTCCACCGTCCTGTGCACAGCTTGTGGTCTGGCCTCCTGCTGGGCACAGCTGCCTTCCTGCCCAAAGCGCCCCCCCTTGAGTTCAGGAGATTTCAGGCAAAAACAAAATAAAACCCCCAAACAAACAAACAAAAACATCCACAAGAAGATCGGGGAAGGCCGACCCTGAGTGGGGGCGAGGGGGTCGGCTTGAAGACCGACCCAGTTAATTCTTGTATTTAAATTCAGTTGCCGAGTTCGTAGGAAAGGGAGGAAAAAAAATAATCCAAAATATTCCATTACAGCTCAGTACGGAATTAAAAAAAAAAAAAATTACTCGGAGCAGGCAGAATTGTTAATATTTCGGAAAAGCAGCCGGAGTCTTGGAATCCTGCGCCGGGCTCCGGGGGCGGGGGCTGAGGGACGGGGGGACACGCTGCCGCGCGCTTGCTGGCTGTGCTGGCAGCCGGCTGTATTTTTATATCACATCCGTCGGCAGGGTGCACATATTCCGGTACAGCCTCCGATCAAAACACAGGGCGCTGGCAGGCCCATCTTGAGTCTGGCTGGGCAGCTGTGGCCTTTTGCTGAGCCAAACCCCGGGCCCTGTCGCCGTCAGCTCCGCACATGCAAGGCGAAGGCGGGAGGCAGCCAGCCGGAGGTTCCGGGAGCTCCACGGGCACCTGGCCCTGCGCCAGCTGCAGCTCTCCCTGGGCAGGGGCGACCCCCTCTGCTTGCCAGGGGCACCTGAGGGGCGGGGCTCGCAGATGGGGGCGGGGTCCCGCTGTGGTAGAAGTTCGCGTCCTCCCAGCTGAGGAGGAGTCGGGAAGAGGGAGGGACCAGGGCAGGTGTCCACTCGAGGACCCCACCTCCTGCTGCGGGTCTGCCCTCAGCAGCGGGGGACCTCAGGCCGCCCCTCCCCATCACTGAGGGTCAGCCTCCCGTTTGACCAGCGGGACTGTTTTGAGCATCAGATGCAGCCGGGGGATGGGGGGTAGTGAAGGGGCTTGAGGGGGTGGGGTGGAATAAGTGTCCCACGTGCTTGAGAGGACCCAGCCGGCATCCTGGGTCCATTTCCGGCCTGACTCTGACACCATGCCCACCATCTGGAAGCAGGCTGCACGTCCCTCCTGGGCGAGCCGGTGCGAAGGGTGTGTGACCCCCCCCTCCCCGGGCTGTGGATGAGCAGTACCCCCAAAAGCTGCCTGGGAGCAGAGTCAGCTGCCCACCCTGTGCCAAAAGGAAGCTCTGGGGCCAAAACTGTGTTTCTTTCCTGCCGAAAGGATTTGTGGCCGCTCCCAGTGAAGCCTCGGGCACAGTGGGATCACTATGTCAAGATAAGGGCTCCCGTGTGCCCCGAAAGCCCAGTTTAAAGGTGTCTGCTTTCATGGCTGAGCACAAAATGTACCCTGAGCTGCCTGGCAGTGCTGGAGAAAAGGGAAACAGGATGCACAGCTGCTCTGTGCTGGCCGGTTGACAGGAGAATCTGGAACCAGAGGCTGGCACTGGACCCGCCTGGAAGACGGGGCTGCGAGCGTTCCAAAGGCTTCCACGACGCTGGGCGTCTGCCTCCAGTGGGGCTTCGGGGGCTGCAGAGAGCCCTGGAGGGGCCTTCACACAACCCCATCGCCGGCTGCACCAGGCTGGGCCATCTTGCAACCATCCCGCCCTAGCCCTGAGTCTGCCCTCCGCGGACCAGGCCCCGGCTAGGAGCTGGAGGGCTGTGGAGCGTGACAGTCACAGGGACTGTGGCCACGCGGCCCTGCTGCCTGTGTGCAATGAGCATTTGTGCCCCCACAGCTGACCTGGCCGGCCCTGCAGACCCTCGGGATGTAGGCCCTGCATCCTCATTGGCTCCGCCCCCACGCCCTCGGGAATTCTCGCTTTGAGCTCTGTCGGGAGGTCCTTTCTGTCTCACCGAGCACCTCTCGTGGGTCCCCCCAGACTCAGGCCAGGCTTCCTCTCCAGAAAACCTTTCGGAGCCCCTCGCGCCCCACCCCCAGCCCAGTCGCAGGTCCCCAGGGCTGGGCCGGGGACTGCCCTTCCCCCCACGCAGGGAGCCCAGCGCGGGGCAGGGCAAGGAGATTGAGCATGGGGACAGCGTGTCACCCTGGCCAGAGGCCGGGTGGAGTGAGCCTCCTCTGAGGGTGCAGGGCTGTTTATCCTCTCCCACCAAGGAGCCACCAAGGTCATCTCTGCACTCCGAACCGAGAGCTGCCCAGGGTGCGTGCGTTGAGCCAGGACACGGGCCCCAGGCCCCGCATGGAGCTGACGTGGACCTGATGTGGACCCACAGCCCGGCCCCCCGTGCAGCTCTGGGGCTGCGGGGTCTTCTACCGCACGTGCGGGCGGGAGGCTGGAGCGTCCGCTCCGATACGGGCGGCCGCGCTGCCCCCGCCCTTCTCATTAGCTCCTCACTGTGCAGCGTCTACAGGAATAGGAAGATCTCGGCGTGACCATCCGAAGGAGGCCAGACTTTTGGCAGAGCTCAGGGTGGGGGGGTCCTCGAGGTGGTTCCGTTCAGCTGCCCCCCATCACCCCAAGAGGCGGGAGAGGTGATCGTTCAGGACAATAATAACAGAAGGGACATGACCGCGTGCTGTCTGCCTGTCGGCTTTGGACGGGTGCTCTGGGTGCTTCGTCCTCATAATTCTGCCACGTGGTGATGGATGTTTCCATTCTACAGACCAGAGCACTGAGCTCCAGGGAGGGAGTGGCGGGTCCCGATGCCACCTCGAAGTCACATGTGGGTGACTCGCCGCTCACCCCGCCGCACGGAACCAACAAGCTTCACTTTACAGGTGACCAACAAAGGCCGAGCGTGGCAG